GACAGACACGGTCAATGAATTCGTCAGCGAAGTCAAAGGAAGAAATTCTGTAAGCGGTTGTTGTCGAGCCAAATATAAGCAAGTAGTTTCTTTTTGCATGCATTTTTACTAAAAAAAACTAATCTTCTCAGGCTTGCCGAATATGAGATTGTTACATCCAACTCTGTGCTTCATGCCTCGTTGGTGTAGAATTACTGAGTTAAGGAAACCAAAACTATGCATAATGTATGACGAGCTGAAATAAAGGCTAGGATGGCAGAAAATTGTTATTTTTTCCCTATTTTTAATATTTTCCAAGCATATAGGGTTAGTGATCGTAGCAGGTGCGCTGCAATTAAAGAAATTACAGAGATGAAGCCTAAAATTAATTCACGCTTCGACGGGATTCCAACCCGTGCCACCCAGATGCCAGCTAGGCGTTACTACCAAACTGAGCAGGTAAAGTTAAGAGGGTTCTTCGTTCTCATGACTGTGGTTCTTTTTCTTGTTTGAAAGATGTGATTGATTGAAAAATACCACATCAAAATGATTGTTAGAAATTTAATTGTTTTCAATTTAAAGATGGTTTTTCAATTGAAGAAGGTTCACGTTGCCAAAACACAGCAAGTTTCCACTGATGTATCTCCTTTATGTTACCTATGGTGTTACATGATCGTGACAGCCTTGCGCCAGTCAATTGAATTTTAATTGACATGGTTAGAAGCGAAATCGACATATCTACTCATAATAGTCTAATTTGGTTTATTAAGCTTAGTAGGTTGAGATCAAGTATAATGCTATTACAACATTTCAAGGGAAATTTCGTTTGATTCGTCAACGGTAAACTTACAAGGGGATTAAGTAAATCACACCGTGACGGGTTGCATTTCCGAGAAGATAAATGACAGAAAATAAAGGAAGGAAAGGGCCCTTTTGTGGTCTGAACCTTTCGCATTCAGAAAAAGATCCAAATTTACTCGGGGACCTCTTTGGAAATGACAGCTCAAAAGACGAACTTTTCTTGAAAGTGCGTAAATTTTCTTGAGAAGTTCACCATCAAACGACTTTATTAACTGTCTCCAGTTTTCCTCTCGCCTTCTCTTTTCCTCCAGGTGTATCAGTCTGAAGAATATGCTGAGGGCGAGGCGATGGGGTGGGGGGGGGGGGGTGATGATAGGAAGAAAGACGCAAAGATGACGTCACAATCAATAACATTTTGTTTTTCTAATATAAAACAAATAGATTCTAGGTTTCCATTTTTCTGTACAGTAAAAGAGGTTCACAGAAGACGTCAAAATTTGGTTAAAACATCAGCTACATTTGTGATCTATTGCAGACTCACGGTAACATGGAATTCACTGTTAAATTGAAAATTGCACATACTTAAAGG